CTTCCTAGGCACCAAAGGTGTTTTGGTTCAGGCAATCTCTATAAATGCTTGTTAAAGGAATGCACATTTTTGTAACTGAAGAATAAAATGCAAATAGCAAAATCTGCTTAATACAAGGACATAAAATATACTTCAAAAGCCAAAACTGGGGGCGCCTGGGTAGCTCAGTGGGTTGGGCATCTGCCTTCGGCTCGAGTCATGATCTCAGGGTCCTGGGATTGAGTCCCACATTGGGCTCCCTGCTCAACAGAGAGCCTGCTTCTCCCTCTGCCTTCCATTCCCCTGTGCTGACAAATAAATAAAATCTTAAAAAAAAAAAAAAAAAAGGCCAAAACTGGTAAAACTTAGTTTGCAAAATCTGGTATTTTTACAAATCGGGCAGCTCTTGTCATGTAAATTAAAAAGGAAAAAAAAATGAAGCCAGTTATCTGGACCAATGCTAAGAACAACTGTTAAAAAATATCAAAATAGGGCGCCTGGGTGGCTCAGTTGGTTAAGCGACTGCCTTTGGCTCCGGTCATGATCCCGGAGTCCCGGGATCGAGTCCCGCATCGGGCTCCCTGCTCAGCAGGGAGTCTGCTTCTCCCTCTGACCCTCCCCCCTCATGCTCTCCCTCTCTCTCATTCTCTCAAACAAATAAATAAAATCTTTAAAAAATATATCAAAATAGCCCTAAACAAACAATTTTTGAGAAATTGAGTTTAGAGTACCTGAAGACTAATTTTTTCCCATCTGCATGTGGAACTACTGCTTGTCATTATTTAGATAAGTAACTCAACAAACCCCAGATACTCGCCAGCTCCTTACGTGTTAAAAGATAACACATTTCCCACTAACAATCGTTAATTTTTCAAACTCAAGTTAGTTTTTTTAACAGACTTATGGGTGGACTGATTACTCATTCAACACAATGGAGGGACACTGTTCTAGATGCCGAGGACATGGCACAGAACAAAACATCCCTGCCCTTATTATGAAACTTAGATTCTAGTGGCTGGTTGAGAAAATTCTGTGGTTTCTTTCTTTCTTATCACTTACTTTGCTTCCCCATACTTTCATGGCTCTTTTACATAGGTACTATTCAAATAGACTTCAACAGTTTTAAAGTTCAGGCTTGTATGTACCCAAGTAACTGATTTTAGACCAGCCCTTAAACAGAATAGTTTAAAGAAGCAATAAAGGACTTTCAATTAGTAAAAACTTCACTTCAGATAAAAACCAGAACTTATTGGGCAACGTAAAATCAACTCAGTCAGAATTTTTGACAACTAATATTCCTACTCAATCACTTCAAAAAGGCAGAAAAAAATTTTACTTTATCCTTGTCTCTAAGTATTTCTCAATTTTAAACTTTAAATTCTATCTCTGAGCAGCAGAATCTTCTTTTAAACAAAATTTCATGGAAACTATAAACTTGAAATGTGTAAAATTCCCACTGAAATAGGAAAGACTGGCCAGTCCCCATGACCTTAATGCATGAAATGCCTCCAAAGATACTTCAGAAACATTTGAAAGTCACTGCCCTAAGTAAATGTGCTATCTAAAAACCTAACAAAAACCACAAAAATATTTTTTAAAGTATTTAGATTTAAATAACTCCAAGATTCCTGTGTTGTATAATATACTATAATTCTCTGAGACATCTGACAAGCACAATTTCTCTGAGCCTTAATTTTTCCCACCTATGAAATGATGACCTTACACTACAATACATGATTGTCTGTCAACCCTAAAATCATGCTACGATGAAGGGTGTGATAAAATTAGTAGTGGCCATTTCTGATTTTAGGACAGGCACATCATGAAAGTATACATTTTCATCTTTGCAGATATTAACTTCAAGCTTCTGTTACCATCTCTGCTTTAGATTTAATGCCTCTAAATTATCACTACTACACATCTTTTTCCAAGATCACAAGAAGCTAGACGGAAAGATTTTTTAAGCACTTCGATGTACTTATCTTCAGGGAAGATATGTACCAGAAATAATGTGTTCAGAGGGAAAAAGGACAACTTTCCTTAGATTTATTTTGCCTAAATCTGAAAGTGGATGATGCCTGCTGTTTGCACAGTGACTAGAACAGGAAGAAAGTGTGCCAAAAGGAGGAAAAGAATGAGACTAAAACAATACAATATTCTTGATGACTAGGAGAATAACACAAACCTTTGAAATAAAGCAGCTTCCTCAGTTACAAGAAAGTCATGCTTCTTATAAAAATCATAACCCAAATATATATATACACACACAATTATTTTGACTCTCTATTCAAGTATTTCATACTAATAGTCAGTCTTGACTGCATTTTTAGAAATCAGACTCTCCATCTCCAAAAATGCCAGAAAATACCTTTCTGTGTATTCTTCTGCTAAATAATCTAGAGTACTAGTGAGTCATATTCTGCTGGAAGTGACAGATCTGAGGAAAAGGGTAAACTTTAGTTATACAACAAAGAGCATTATAAAATCAAGTTACAATTCAGTTATTTCCATTTAAACATGTTAAAAAAGAAGAGAAACAGGCATTTCAACATAAAGAGGTATGAACTATTAGACTGTGCCAAAAAAGTTGTTCTAGAGAGATTGGTTGCTAAATAAGTCGTAACTCTGTAATTATAAACCATTTGTACACAGGATGAACTGTTATAAATAGCTCTTTTTCCTAATAAGGGTCATGAGAAAGTCACACCATGGATGGTTTTGAGTTATCAAGGAGACCACTCTATGACAACCCTGGAGTCTCACAAAGTCCCACAGCCATCTGTACAAGCTCTGCTTAAATTCTCACAGAGGTTCACAACTACTTAGTGTCATCCTTACATAAGGCAATCTCAGGTCTATTACATTGACAAAAAGGAGATATTTTCATCCAGAGTTTCCCTGGCAAGTGCCTGTAGAAGGGTTTTCATTAACCATTTTTAATCCACCCAAGCACCATCAATTTTAAGCCACACCATTCAATTCTGTACCATAAGAAAATGTTACCAATTAATATTTTTCTATCATTTTAAAATATGTATTTCAGAGATGTTAGAATTTGAGAAAATGTGCATCTTATAAATCCACCAGGCAAGAACTTTACAAGAAGGAAAGTCCAAGACCAACCACTCATCCTTTTTTATTTAATAGACTAAAAAATTAAGTATTCCCTACAGAGTAGAAAACATGCTGAGTAAAACTTGGGTTTGGTCCCAATTATACTTTAAATCAAAAGAACTACATGATTTTGAATACTCATCTACTATCACTAAGGCTAACTGTGGATCACAAAACAAAAGAGTTTTAAGATTTTGTTTTACTTAGAATGTCGGACACTTAACCAACTGAGCCACTCAGTTTGCCCCTAAACATCTGACTCTTGGTTTTGGCTCAGGTCATGATTTCAGGGTCCTGGGATCGAGCACCACGCTGGGCTCAGCACAGAGTCTGCTTGTCCCTCTCTCTCCCTCTCTGCTCCTCCTCTGGCTCGCACTCTCTCTGTCCCTCTCTCAAATAAATAAAAATCTTTAAAAAAAGAAATGAGCATAACTGCTTATGTACATTATAAAACATAAAGCACAACTGTGATGTCAGATTTTTATTATTAATGGCATACCTGAAGAATGTAACACTATGTCCATGTCTTGCTGTGGTTGGTTTTATAGTTTTAAAAAATAAAAAAACTTTGTCACTTTGCTAATTAAGCCTGTCCTCAAAAATTATTTGAAGTTATAATTTAGGCATTAAATAAAATGACTGTTAAATTTAATAGTAAATGTGGAGAATCAAAGTATACTACAGATAATTACCTATTTTACAGACTTCAAATGTTTTATAAGCACATTAAAAATATTTTATGGACATTCTAAAGAGTAGGAATGAGGGTTAATTATCTGTCATAGTTCTAATTCAAGTGCTCAGAATCTGGATTACATTATTACACTTAAAAAAAAATTCAGGTACCACATAAATTTTTAAATGTAAGCTTTCCCCCCCGCTTTTAACATAATACAGTTTCAACAGTCTTTCCTACTGGAAAAAGACAGCAGTGTTTCCTATTGTATATGCTTTGATTTCTGTTAGAGGTATTTAACTTTTCCTATCCAGAAGAAACCACTCATTTAGACTACTTTAACTACAGGAACTCATCATGTCTGAAAATGGAAGTCAGAAATCTTTTCTTCATTTCAGTCATTTCTGGCAAATGAGAAATAAAGCCAGCTAAATGTTTAGCTCCTACTAGTCCTCCTCTGCCATCGCATATAGCCTGTGAAGGGAAGCTCTTGCAGTGAGTAATCATTTCAACCAAACCCCAAAGTCAGAAAATCAGATCCTTTGTTCCATTTAAATAGGTCCATCATCCTGCCGTTTATCTTTCCAAATTAAAATGACAATACTCCAAAGTCAACCAATATCACTACATATAAAATCTAAATTAAGTGAGCTTTACATCATTAGGAGTCAGAAATATAAAAGCATTTTAAGTGACAACACTACTAGCAAATTAAGTTGTGTGAATTTAAGTATTTACTATTAGGTTTTCCTCACTATGATTTCCATAATATAATGTGTACAAATGTAAACATATAACGCTTTGGATAAAAGTCTACTCTGCTCAACAGTAAAGAAAACTATTTTAAAAATCATTTCTATAATTTCAGAACTAAAAGTGCAACTATAGTATAATAACTGCCTTTATATTCCAAATAAGAAATGCTTTTTCAGAAATTTCTCTGAAGAATGGAAAAAATTATAAAGCAAAGGACAGCAATGACTTTTCAGAGGAATTCCATTTTTGCAGCTTTAAATCATCAACCTGAATAAACAATATAAGGGATGCAAATCCCTCCTCTAACACTGTTTTTAAAAAAATCATCGCATAATACCCCTGAAACAAATAATACATTATATGTTAATAGAAAAAAAATCATTGCATAATAATTTGACAAAGAATTAAGTCTTTATCAAGTAGTTCATTTCTGTAGGATACCAATAATCAAATAATAAATTTAATAAATACGTACAGTTCCAGAGAGGACATCATGGGGGCAACAGTTGAGAAGGTGACTCTTGCATACTCTGTCATCACTGAATTTGATTCGTTGACGAGTAGTATCTCCTGTAATATAGAAAAGTTAATAACATTCAAGGTTAGACAACTGGAAAATACTTATTTTCTGAGAGCCCTATCATCTCTAGCTTTTTCTGTGTGGCTACACACACACACATTTATTTATAAATCAGCTCAAGAGGGATTAGTTTTTTATATAATATCCTATAGAAAAACTATTTTAGACATGCAGTTGCAGTATGTGTACTGCAAATGTAATTCAAATAGTCAAAGTGGGAAAGCAATGCATTCTGTTAAAACAGAGTACTTCAGAAAAGCATAGGAAATAGAGCAGGAATGGACTTTAAACATTATCGAGTCCAACTCCTTTGCACTGCAGATGATGAAACTGAGGCCCCAAGAGGTTAAGTGACTTGCAGCAGACCCACTAGGAGAGTTTCTACTGGTATACAATGTTCCCTACTTGACGCTAAGCATAGATTTATTTTGTAATTATTTACATTAATTGAAAAACATAAAAAGTAATCTTGCAAACATTGCATACACACTGCGAATCCCCACTGAACCCCAGACGCCATTTCTTCCACTATTTTGTTCCAGCTGAAGTGTCTCCCTTTTGCTGCTGGGATGAGTTAGAGAGGGTAGAATAGCGTGTTTAAGAGTGTACAAACCTGGAAGAAGGACTTACACACCAGTCAGACAAAGGCACATTGCCTATATGAAACGTTAACTTTAATGCCTCCAAAGGTACCATACCTTCAAATTTTAGGTGGTCTGTGCTACATATGGCCAAACCGGGTATATTTAAATTTATTCTGTCTTCATATAACACAGTACACCTCCTAAGCAACAGAAGCATCCAACCTCCTAATCAAATATGCCTATCCAACTCAGACTTTAAAGAGTCTAAGAAAAAGAAAGGTAACTAACTCTAGTAACAAAATACAGATGTTAGTTACAATTTTTTTTGCTTAGCATCTCTTTGGGAAAAAAGAGAAAAAAAACTTAAGGACATTTTTTCTACGTAGAATGATAAGCCCTAAGAAATGTAGGTGTTTTATTCTAGCCTTAAATTGATATCATCATTGATGAATGAAAACCTACTGATGAATTACTGAAGCGAGAACTGTTGGTACCAAAAGAGATTGTAAATACCTCTGTACTTCACATGATGCCTGGGGCACTCCAAAAACTCATCTAGGAAGTGATTCAATTATTTAAATTAATTTCTGTTATTCGCATGTGAATAACAAAAACGTTAAGCCTTTACCCCTTTCACATGGTCTTATTTTGAAGAGCTTAATGCAAAGTCAACTAAATATGTCATTTTTAGGTGGGGTAAGATTTTGTTCAAATTGTTTTAACTCCATTAAAAAGACTTAAAGAACATTCTCATTTGCAATCAGGGTATATAAAATTTAAGTAATTTATAGCTAAAATGATAGCTTCAGAGCAGTTCAACAATAGGTTTTCTAGAGGCTAGTCTCTAGTTCAAGTAGGTTACTTTGACACCACAATTTGGAATAAATCATTTAGTGTTCACGCCTGCTACTATAATAAAGGTTATTTTGATGGTCCTTTTTTCCTTTTAAACACAACTGCTTTTGTTCCACATTCATTAACACATCTGAAAAGTTAGTGATAACTCACGGCTCGGCGAATGCGGGGCCTTTCTGACACTCCCTTGCAGATTGAAGTAGGCAGGCATAGATACATTGAACCTTTACAAATAAAACAAGGGGCCAGATTGTTCAGTTTGTATAGAATAGACTCTGCCAGCAATTTCAATACAGCATCTAGAAGTACATGTTGACTGTAAAGATTCTTGTATATGAAAACAAAAGTGAACAAAATCAGGGTGTTTTATTTTGCAAAATATTGACTTAACAAGTGTAACCCTACAGAAGAATGAGACTGACCACAGATAGGAAAAGTCCAACGCTAGAACTCTGGGAAATGGTCTCTGGGCCAACTGGGGTTTTAAAAAAATGCTTTTTAAAAGACTTTATCTCATTAAGACTTCGGTGAGGGCCTAAGTTCACGTTAGAATGGTATTATGATAAGCTAGCACCAGAAGGGCAATGCTATATATTCAAGTTTTTTGCTTACTGGCACGTAAGAAAAAATGTCTTATTTTTAATCTGTACCCAAATTATGCTAAGAAATTGAATGATGATGTAGTTTTAATTACAAAAAAAAGAAGGAAAAAACCCTTACATATCTAGGACTCTTCCCTACTACAATATCTAAGCTTTTTAGCATGCAGCAACAGTATCGTTTCAATGCTACGTCAAACTAATGGCTCAATAATATCATAAACCAGGCCTTAAAATAAAATCAAGGTTCTTAGAAGTTTTACTAATCAAACATTTTGTAAAGTAGGGCGACTGTTTTTGCTTCAGAAATCACAACATTAAGTCTAATATTAAGATACATGTGCCCTGAAGACACAGCTGTCAGATAAAATATAAATAATGCCAAATATGAATTTAGCAAACATTATCCCCAATGAGCTCTTACAAAAAGCATATTTCTATAAATGCAAAAAAGCATTTTAAAGTAACTTCTCACTGCGTAAGAATGGTTGCTCTATAGACATTTGATAACTGCAAACACAATAAATACAGCTATCAAATATCAGCTTACACATTAGAAAAACCTTTAAGACCATGAAATAATAAAACCCCTAATAATTTCAGATACAGAAATATCCTGAGATGGACTAGCAACTAAGTATCTGTTTATTGGTATTTTTAAAGTTTTACTTAAGAGACTTTAATGTTAACATCTTAAAATAATTTGGCTACGTTACCATGCAGTATTTAATAAATTTCTTTGGGCTTATGCCATGAAACGTATAATTTAGCTAAACCAACAAAGAATTTTAAAATAAAAATACTGGTAATTTTGGTTTCTATCAAGGTATCTGGCCCAAACCATGTTTTTCAAAAGAAACCAGGTAAAACAGCGCCCATTTGAAAAAAAAAAAGGGGGGGGGGCAGACTACAATTAATAGAAAACAATTATGAACCAGATTTTTTAATAAAAAGAATTACTTTATGAATTCAAATACTGTATCTTTGGGTTTTCTGGGCATATAGTCATATAAAAATAACCTGAGTTAAAAAAAAAAAAAACAATGACCCTCTTACACTAACACTGAATCCAAATCATAGAATCAAACCTATTAGTGTACATATCCTCTGTGCTAGTCAATGGGGTTACAAATAGGCATATAATTACAAGCTCTCTACCTTCAAGGAGTCCATGATGGTGATAGAGAAATAGGACATTTAATTGAAATAAGAAGTAATAAAGTAGCATGACCCAAATGCCAAATGGATGTCTCTAACAGTAGTACTTCAGGAATTCTAAGACTAGAATGGCCACCAAGGATGGAGAGGTTAGAAAAGGCTTCATACAAAAAGTGGAAGCCAAAATTTAAAGAAAAGATAGGACTCAGACCACAGGAAAGAAGAAGAACATTTCAAACTGGAGTATTATCTTTGACAAAGCTTATAAAGACAGAAAGGTTTAGGGAATAGTAAATACTCCAAGTCAGATTCGGCTTTGGAAAATGGCTACATGTAGGGGAATAGCAAAGCTGAGGCCAGAACAGTATTTCTTGGTAAAATCTGCTTTCTTTTTTCATTTTTTTCTTCAATCCAGATTTTTAGTGTATAAACAAAGTTTAAAGTTTAAAAATAACGAACAGAGATTAAAACAAGTTATTTGAGTTAACAGCAATACAATGTCCTACCCATAAAAACATGGAGGTTTCTCTGCCCTGGAACCTCTACAATAACTAATTAGGCTTTGTACATAACAATCTAGGTTTTTAGAATTAGCAACTTGATTTAGAACTTTGGTAGGCAAAGTGTTCTTCATTTGAATGGAAGCATCAAAATTTCTGTTAATATTTATTACCAAGCAACTAACTTCAGAGTAAAAACTTTTAATTCTCTCTTTGGTTCAACCCCTCCATGAGTTTCATGAACTGTAATTTGTACTTGGGAACACCTGAGTTGCAAGTGTACAATAAAAACTGGAATGCCTATTATTCCTCTCAAAGTTTCTGAGCAAGTTAACAGGGCCTAACATGGTACTGAGGCAGTTTCCGTTGGGGAATACAGATAGGCCACTCTAAAAAGGCAGCTCCTGCCCAGACTGTACTCAAATACTGCTATGCTCAAAATCCCCTTCAATCTGTTGGGAGGGAAAAATAAGCCCACTGTAAATCCCAACACCGCTATTTTATGGTCCTGCCTCTTCTGAAACTGACTTAGACTTAAATGTAATAGTAACACTTAAAACTTAAGCCTAGATGGTATCTGACAATTTACATGGTGCATGCTATTTTCCCAATGCCCACCCCTTCCCCCCTCCAGTGCCACCCACCCTCTCCCTCCCATACAAACAATAAATCAAATAAATTTTCATAGATTTAGGTGCTATTTTAAAAACATCAAAATTTTACTTTACCCATTCTCTCCGATGCTCCCTGTATTTTTTTAAGCTGTGAGTGGATGACCATGCTATGTGATCAACAACTGTGAAGGCTAAGCAAAAGTGAACTGAGTTTAGTATTGTAATTAAAAGAACCTTAAAGTTTGTAATATTTGACATATATAATGGTATGCAGAATCCTTATTTTACTGCATATTATCAGGCATTAATGGCAAACAATTTATAAAAACAACTAATTAGTATTTCTTTTGTATAGAATTAGCTTAGAGCTTAGCTTAGGGAAAACAGAGAAGAAAACTCAACAGCACACAAAGCAAAATGGAAGCACAACCCCTAGCTTATAAATGGAGCCAGAAGAGGGAAAGCCCTCCCATATTCTCCAATGTGACAACCAAAGCCCTCCCCACAGGTACACTTGTTAGGGAACAAGTGTCACCACTGGCTTAGGACAGGATAGGCACATTCCCTCTGAAATAAAATCCACACCCCTTCAGTGAAAGGAAAGCAGAGCAAGAAAAAGAGGTGTATAAACAGCTTAAAGTTTCTCATTTCCCTGTGCCTCAGAATCATCAAATGCAGAG